ATAACAAGTGGATAGAAGTTACTTTCGACTGTGAAGCAGGAAGAAAAGAAGCAATAGACAAGATAGAGAAGAAAAGCTGAGATTGGTTTAGAATGATTCTAGAAGAAAGTAAACAACACAAGAAGAAAGAAAACAACAACAACATAACAAAGAAAGAAAAAAAAGAAATGAAATATAAAAAACAACAAGAAGACTGGAAGGCAAAATACAATTCAGAAGAAGAAGAAGAAGAAAAGAGAAGACCAAATGTAGACAATGAAGACAGAAACTCAAAATATATAACACTGTGGGACTTGCCAAAGGATATAAATCAGCAGGAAATATAGTATGCCTGTAAGAAAATAGGCACAGTAGAAGACATACAAATTAAGAGAAGCTTTACAAAAGCACGAGCAATATTGAAGATAAACAGAGAAAGAGAAGCAGAAGTACCATGGGCAATACCAATAGGTGACGATAAACTAGCAAGAATTACAGAAAATATAGAAGATTTCGACGAACGAAACAGACGAAGCAAGATAACAGCAAGATTAAGAGGTGTGCCAAGGGGAGCATCGGAGGTACTTCTGCTAAACAAACTAAGAAGCAAGGCAGCAAAATCAGTATATATCCCATGCAACAGAAATGGTTAGCAAAGAGTGATTGCAATAGTAACTTTTGAAAATAAAGAAAATAGAGATAAAGCTACAGCAAGGCCAGTGAGATACAACAACTGGATACTAGAATGGAAAACTTAATACAATTCAGATAAAGATAACCAAGACAGATCGAAGAGATCACGATCAAGAGAAAAAGAAGAAAAAGTAATCAATACAAGAAGAAAAAGAGAAGAAGAAAAGTTTAGTGAAGAATCTGAATATAAAGAGAGTGAAGCAGAGGAATCAGTAAAAGAAGAAACAAGGAAAAATAGGAAGAAGAATTTTAAAGAAGCGAAGCAAAAAAGAACCAAAAATAAAGAAGAAACAAGTCAATATAGTCTAGAAACAGCACTGAAAGAAATACTAAAAAGACTGGATAACCTAGAACGAAACCCTAAAACAAGAGGGAGAGGCGCTAGACGCTCCTGAAAGGCACCTTTGTTGAAAACAGAGAAAGGGCTGAAGCGGTGAAGAACTTAGCCCAAAAAGGAAAAAGAAGAAGCAATGTACAAAGAAAGCAAATAGTGCAAACAGACATAGAAAACTATAATATATTAACATTAGCAGTCATAGGACATATCCTACCTAAGTGCTGTTACTTATAAATCAAATGAGTTGACTCACCTAATTTTATATA